TGTGTTGACCATAGTGGTTCACCTTCTTCTCCCTCCCTCAAAATAGGTCCGATCCCTAAATTTCCACCCTAAATTTTACCACTAACCTTGTATGCATTGCGAGTTTGGCAGCGATCAGTGAAGTTCGCTTCATTGTACTTCGCTGTACGATGATGATGATGACGATAAGAAGACAGAAAAGTTAAGGCGTGATAGTGGTGTCACAGAAAAAGGAATGAAACGGTGTTGACATCACAGCACAGAGACGCCCATTCATGATAAACTTTGGGTACATCAGGTATCACCAGAAAGTGATCTGATAGAACCGGTTAGCATGAGACGAATGCTTTTTTGTGGTCGCGTTCGCAATGAACAACGATGCATAGTGAAAAGCAAAGCGACAGGAGAGGAATTGTGGATCGTTATCCCACTCACCAGCAAGCAGGACACTTAGGACATATGGGGGAAACCGTTTATTACCAGACGTTGTAAGCAGAACATGTAAGTGGTTACACATTTACCCAAGTCAAGTCAGGGAACGCTTTAGGCACCCGATAAGCAATATGCAGAAAGAGGCACTGATTTCAATCCCGTTTTCCAAAAACAATCCATATCCCACGACAAGAACAACTGTACAGGTTTGTTGCCAATCAATTTAAGGTCGAATGAACGCAGTGAAGAGGGAACAAGCAGTGGGCGTGGTCGCTCATTCAAATCGATAAGCAACGTAGCCTCAACGAGGTCAAGGTTGAGTGAACCGCGGTACGGGTGAATGGTTCACGCAAAATGCAAAACTGCAACGATCGTTCAGGCTGATTCACCTTGGGAGTTGCCTCCCATTCTCAACCACGAAGAGATTTTAATATCGCACTCCGTTTGATATTCAAACACTTTGGTGTTGATGACTAGTTTCTCGAAATTGAGGAGGGACGCTAAATTAATCCCGAAGGAATGGAAATAAATGGCTTTTTAAATCACCATCCACAACATAGGGCTTTTTTTCAACTGACGCATTAAAGCGAGAATAGGGCGGAGACCACAAGCCCTACCTACAGAACGCACTCGTAGAACGGCCGCTTACATGCAACTGGAGATCAATGAACAACAGAGCTAACACTGTCAATTTGAAGAGCACTTAAACCAAAGGGAGACGGGCAAACAATGAATTCCGAGATCATGAAAGCCCGACTTCAGGCGTAACCAAAGAACTCAATGGTCGCCATGCGGTGTGGAATTGATTTGCTCTCAGCTTCAAGGTTCAACTTTGAAACCCAGTTCCATATCATTGAATGAAATTGTCTTGTCTCTCTAGGTCACAGGGCCCCGGTTACTGGTTCTCATAACTGCTCCGAAAGTCATCAGAGCTACGGGGTTCATTCCACTGACTTTATCACATAACGATGTACGGTAAATAAAAACATTGTTTTCTATGCTAGCTAGAGTATCTGTTTACATATATTTTGTGGTGTTAACCCGATTCGTACGACACAGAACGGACAAAACTACTTAGCTGGATTTCCAACTAATTGCTATGCATGATCAGTAATCCTTCATCTACGGACTAGGTTATCTGCACCTTATTCTTGTTGATAACACGAAACCATGACCTTTTGTGTTCCAATCAATTCAAGGGCATGTACAGTGTGTGATGTGTTAACATTCCGTTAGTACGAAAAAATCTTCTAGTGTGCACAAAAAGAAAATATATTGGTAAAATGGAAAAAGTATGTGGCAGTAGTGCAGAGGAATGTAATACCCACGTAAAAACAGAAAGGAAGCCCTAGATCGAGAAACGTACGTTTCTCTTCAGGTACTAATGAGTCAGATCTATGAAGCAACTTACACTGATTTACACAGCAACGGAGCTTTTGCACTTCTGATGCATTGGCACTAATTCGATACAATCCCAAATGATCCAGACCTGGAAGGATGGTGCGATGCGAGAGTGAAGTGTCGATGAAGCAAAAACAGAATTATCGGCAAGTTAATAGCTTGGCAACTAGTTGTTTGGGAGCAGATAAACCATATTCGTGATAAATGAATACAAATGACTGGTTGTGAGGGGGTAATTTTTACCAATGCTAATAGCCCAGAAAACTGATCGCATCATCCTTAATTACGCCATAAGTGTAGCTCACTGAACGTGCAACAAAAAAATGCATGACCAAGAAGATTTGAATGGGTATCACATTAAAAGCTTAGTAACAATTTTTCACATAACCTTTAACTAGTTAAGCGAGGTCAACCAGCGACGATGGGAATATGACATGCAATTTGAAAAGCTGCGAAACTGACGAGCATTGCAGAACACTGAGAAGCTGTTGGAGAACAACTTAGGAATCAGTACTAAGAAGGTGAGTTATAATTATCGTTACAATATCCTGGATTTCAACATCGTTTACAACGCATGGGAAAATGAACAGCGGACTGAAGATGAGCTCGTGATTGGAAGAATAACTATACGAGCACACTAATTATGGAAGCCAGTGACCGAAGCTCTGAGACTTGGAGTAGCGAACTGCCCAGAATCTCAATAAGAAAGGCGTGGTATTGATCTGAATTACACAATTTTCCTGGAATGAACAGTTCTTCGTGAAGTTCATCGGATTAGAGATGAATAACTCAATAATCAAGCCTTTTCTAACCTGTTTAAACTCGTCAGTCCGGTGATCGTTCACCAGTTCAGTAAACACCATTGTTCAAATACATATGCTCAATCATCTTCCGAATGTTGACGTACTAACAAGGATCAAAATCGTAAGATAACTTTTCACAAGCTATGGTGCACGTTGTAGTCACTGTTAAGTAAGGCCCCACATCAAACTTCGTGTTTACTGTGATGCTATCCGTCCCATTCTTATCCACAGATTTGAAAGCTCGCTGGTACGAGTTGAGGATATTAGAAAGTCAGAGGTAGTGAGACATTGGTTTCAGCGTTAAACCCTACAAATTGAATGTTGTGACAAAGTGTACCACGAAGAAGGAAGACGTTGTTTTGACATTACAACACCAACGCCCGCAGTGGTTCGCTCATATATTACCACGACTCGAGACGAAATAAACCAAGCATGCATGCTGGTTGGCGTCATTTATCTGGTGGATTGCGCAATCCAGGAGGGCACGGAGCACCCAGCCGCGGGGGACGGAAGAAAAACTAGATTTAGACTTGCATCAAACTTCATTTCAAAAAGATGAATCCGCTATACCACGGTCAAGTTCTCTTTTGGTCAGAGATAAATGCTCTTATAACACGAACTCATTTCTGCCCCAGCCTCGGTTAATTTAAGTCTATGAACCGCTTGTAATTAGCAAGGGGAGCGATTTTTCGACATAGAGGAAAAAGAATAATGCTCAAGCAATAATGAACATGCCGATTGCATGCACGATAATGAACGCCGGGGTATGACTAAATGGAGGGGGTGATGCATAGAAAGCGGAGACGATCAACTGGAACGACGGGGCCGGGAAAGTTCACTAACCCCGAGCTTCGATGGCACGAACCGCACAGGCAATGAACCGGGGTACTTCGGAGTTTTCTTGTTCACAGATCTGAACCAAAGTTGAGGCGAACACAGGCTCATCTATGCAAGTGAGACAAAGGAAAATAAAAATAGAAATTATACTGGAACAGGAAAGTGGAGGGCATAGAGAAACAGGAGGAGCTGGCAAATACGTGAAAAATAAAGACAGTTGGAGCTGATCACAGTTAGCCCGTAATCTCAACAACTACCCACGACATATTTCGGAATTATCACTCTGAACGCAAGAGAAGAGTATGAATTTCAGGAAAACGTCTGCTCAGAGCAGGAGCTACAAAAAGAAAACCACCTATCTGGAGTGTTACATCCCGAGGGTTTTAGCAAGGCTCACAAAATCAAAAGAGTGGGTGACTAGTCAGTAGTTACGTTCGACTTTGCCAGGTCTGATGCTCACGCAGGCAAACAGGTGATCAAATAGTCCTAAACGATAAAAATGGCAAAGTTTCACTATTGGGTCCTATCTACAGATGCACTGTAAAAAAACCAGGAGCATAATGCGGAATATAACTGGGGCCAAAAGCCTTGTGAATTTTCATATCGGGTATCTGCCAGGCGCGAGTGATACTGCAGAAGCCAAGGGGGCAAACGAGGCAGCTGTTACTCAGGCATTGACAACAGGGAGTAGGGATTGGAGATAAAAAGGTGTATGAAACCCGAAAAAGCTTGGCGGACCAGACGAGACACTACGAGCTGTGGTTTGGCATATAACGGAAAAATAAACAATTACCGGGCGTATTTATCGTCGCAAGGATGAAGCCTCACATACCTGAAGGAATCGCAAGGGAATGACCATTGAGTCGACGCACCGATACCACTGACGGCTCTGAGGGAAATTCGAGGTGATGTTTAGCAATGGATAAAAGAGCTCTCAAAAAGTCTAAAGGGAGACAGCTAACCCAAGCAGTGTTGCGGAAATGCACGTGCGCCATTGATGAGCTAATCCAAAACCCGAATAAATGAAAAATGAATAGGTGAACTGATCTCTGAGTGATATCCCTATATATATATATATATATATATGCATATATATATATATATACCGAGGTTCAAGTGTCACGGTTAGAAGTGAAGGTAAACTACAAGGAAATGTAGCGAATAAACATAACATATCATGTAGGTTCATTCAGTTAGTCCACCTTACCTTAATTCAGGAGATACCGAAATAGCACCATAAGAAAATGTAAACCGTATTCGATCGTGTGATTTGAATCGCCAAATAAGCTATCTGCAAAACTCACTTTTCAGAATTCCACGAGCCCTTAACGACTCAGCGGATGGTCGGGTGCGGAAGAACTCACGCATTTTTGCTACCAAACTAGTATCCAGTTTTGATGGGGGACGGGGAAGATCTACAGTGAGGGAAAATAGAAAAATAATACGAAATGCAAGCAAAATGCGATGAACATCTGATTTTAGCGCGGTTGCATAAGTGTTGACTAATTGTAGAAATCGTGTCTGAAATCATCAAGTAGATAGGAAAGTAAACAGTGAATTTTCACACATCGAACGGCGAGATTAGGCGAGAGACATGCAAGAAAGTTTAGCGACAACTAAGCTGGAAATGATTATTCACCACTATGGAGCAAAAACATACGCTTCGGTAAAGCATGGGCTGATGTGGAACCAGAGAACTGTAATTGAATAGTGGGGATAAGTAATGTATGCCAGTTCAGCTTGTACAACCATTTACCAGACACTTTCGTGTGTTGGTTTTGGCTGATATCCTTTGGCTACCGTTTGGATGAACAGTAGGAAAAAGACAGGACAAGCAAGTAGAGGCTGAGTCGAACAGAAAATACAGAATTCCAGAGGACCAAGGTTGCAAAGAAATAGAGAAGATACACGGACGCCATTGTTTACGACATTCATCCATATCACTCAGTGTCTCTAACCACCACCATCATCCCGGGAGCCTAACGGGACCTATGTGACCCAGACTCGTGGTCAGGGTTTTCATATCCTCATGCCAGGTCTTAGTCTGACCATCCTTGACGTTTTCCACCCAATAATTACCTCGGCGAACATCGCTCGCCGTGGCAATCGAATTCGTGTCATAACCACCGTAGTCCACGGAGGTCGAACACTAGCTACGGTGGACGACCGCGGTTACCCAAAACTCTTCGCCTAACCGTAGTATTGCTCGTCCGGCTGCCCCACCAGATTCGTGCAATGCTGCGTAGACAACCACGTTCAAACACTGACAGTCTATCTTTGTCCTGTTTTATTAATGGTCAAGTTTCTGCTCCATATAGCA